TTCCTACCACTCAGTGCCATAACAACCCACTGTTATTTGTCTGTTTTTAACCTCCATTCTAGAATAGATGTCCTGGGAGAGCAGACACTTTGCCCCTTTTGTTCACAGCTGAATGTCTTGTGTCTAGAACAGTATCTGGCACATCAAAGGCTCTCAGTAAATATTGCTGTGGCTGATGTGAGTCTTGCAGAGTTAAGGTTGCTGTTGTTTGTTGAATGAATTAGTGGTGACTGTTTTACCTACTCTTCATCTTCACCTTCTTTAGGAATCAAAATAATTGACCTGTATACTAAGAAGTTTTATACTTTCCAAAGCATGATTGGACTTATGGGGTATGTTAATTATTATACTAAAAGGCAAGGTATTTGGGGGAGGGATCAGATTTATTAATATGTAATTTACATGCAGTTAAATTTACCCATTTTGAGTGCAGATTGATGAGTTTTGGAAAATAAATATTTTGAAAAATATTTATAAACCACTCTAGTCATGATATATAATATTTCCATCACTTCTTTGTAGTCTCTCTTGTACCCCACTTATAACCACTGGCAACCACTGATGTGATTTTTATCACTATCATTTTACCTTTCCAGAATGTCATATAAATGGAATCATATAGTATGTAGCCTTTTGTGTCTAAACTATTTCACCTAGCATAAGGCTTTTGAGATTCATCCACGCTATTGCATATATCAGTAGTATTCCTTTTTTATCACTGAGTAGTATTCTATTTTAATTTATTCACCAGTTGACAGATGTTGGGTTGTTTCCAGTTTTGTCTATTCCATATAAAGTTTCTAGAAACATCCACATACAGGTCTCTGTATGAACATAGGCCCTTATTTCTTTTGGGTAAATACCTAGAATGAAATGGTTGGGCTGTATTATAAGTTTGTGTATAACTACAAGAAAATGCCAAACTGCTTTACAAAGTGACAGTTTCATTTTTGCATTCCTACCTAAGAGAGACCTACTCCAGGTGTGAGTACTAAGATTGTATGAGAGTTCCAGTTGCTCCATGTACTTGCTAACATTTTGAAATTTAGCAGCTTTTGTAGGGGTTTAGTGGTATCTCATTTTTGGTTTCAGTTTGCATTTCTCTGCAACTAATGATGTTGAACACCTTTGCTTATTTGAGGTGATGTTTTAGCAGTCTTTTATACTCTGAAGATATTAAGAATTTTAAAATATCATTGGAATTGAAGGTGAAAATTTCCAAGGAAAATGGTTAAAGGTTTCAACAGTCACTTCTAGGTTCACACTATACAAGAGAAGGTTGGGTGTGAAAATGTTAAATTTTGGTAAAGAGTGATCCATCTGGGTGACGGATGGGTCTCATCAGACCTGGGACTTAAACAGATTTCATAATTCTGTTGGTGTTTATAGGAAGCCAATTAAGAATCAATTACAATTTCCCTGGTGCCCCAGAAGTCACCTGGAAAGCGCGGCAGTCCTCTGTGGCCTTCACAAGTGTGTTGTGGAAGCCCGCTGAACATAGAGCTCCCTCTGGGGACAATTTGTCTGAATCCATTAATCAAGCTTGAGAAATCAGTTACCACAGCTGCAGGAATGCTACCACCCTTAAACTGTGAAACCCCAATTTTCATGTCCATCTCTTAGTTAATTAATTTGAGCAGACATTCCCTGAGTGCTTACTATATACCAGGTACCATTTTGCATACCAGGGAAAAGAGCAACAAAGCAAATGGAAATGGCCCTGCCTGGACTTAGAATGTGGGAGAAACCTGCTGGGAAAAACTGAGGCTGCTGTGGGAACACCTACGAGGGACTCCTAACCCAGCTGTGAGTGCTGGGAGGGGATCAAGAAAGGAATGTGAGGGGAAAACTAAGGTTGTCAGAACTCCTAGAAAGTTTTTCAGCACAGGGTATACACTAGGAAACCCCAATAGTAGTAGAGAGGGAGGTCCATTCAATGCCTGCAAGGCATTCTCCAGGACTTCATTTAGGAGGTAGAGACATCAGGGTGAGGCCTGGTGAGGCTTAGACTTTATCCGAAGGGCAGTGGGGAACTGACAAAAGGTGTTATGTGGAGAAGTGTCTTATTTGGTTTTTGCCTTAGTCCAGTAACTCTACTTGTTTTGTGATAAATGGATGGCAGAGGGGCAAGACTAGAGGCAGGGAGACTGGCGAAGTGGCTTTGTGTTCAACCAGGATTGGAATGAGAGTGACCAATTCACTGGAGATGATTGGGTAGTGGGACCTTTCCAGCCAGTAACTGGAAATGTGTATAAGGGCAGAGTGGGTGTGCTACTAGCTTTGAAACATTGGGAAATCTAGTACATAGTACTGCCTTCTTTTTGGTTTTGGTTTGTTTGTTCACTTCCTTGGAAAACTGATGTAGAAATGTCCCTTTGGCTTCAGTTACCTGAGCAGAGGGGTTTGGGCATTGCCAAACTCTCCACTTTGGACAAAATTGCTCCCATCATTGATTATTCTGCTCTGAAGTGAGAGGAGGGAATTATTCAGGGGGCCAGAGCCAAGCCAAGGTGGGTGGGGAAATTGGGACAGGAAGCCTGCCTGCATCTAGCATAAGCCAGAGCAGAAAGAACCTTATACTGTTGCTCTGAGCTACTTGCTGACCTTCTCTGCTTATCTCCTGGAAGGCTCCTGGGGTCAGAACCTATGTTTGGAGACCTAAAAACTTTATAGCAAGGAAAATACTCTCCAAAAACAAACAAACAAACAAAAAAACCAACAAAAAAACTACTCCTGGCCTTTCTCTTCTCTGGACCATTTTATTGAGGTTTGTCTTCTTTTTTCTCTGACATTATCCACTCAGGTTTTTGGGATCCTCTGATCTAGTTGGCTCTGGGGTCTCTCTAGTTGGCTCTTAATAACACTAGCCTATTAAGATTTGATCCTTCCTATATTTCCCCTCCTTTCTTTCTGGAAATCATTATGGATTTGCTGTAAATAATGGAATAGAAAAACTGTTTGGACAGGATATAGCCATTGAATACTAGAAGGTACTGATAGAATAGAAAGTAAGGAGAAAAGAACTCATTTCTTTGGCACTTACAATGTGCCATGTACTGTGTGGCTATAAATATATTTATTTACATTATCTCATTTAATATTTAAAGTATCATGTAAAGTAGGCATTTTATAATGAGAAATCCATGCTCAGAGAGCATAAAGCTCGGCCAACGACATATCGTTGGGAAATGGGCTAATTCATGTCTGGGTTCTTCCTATTAGGTTAATTTCCCCTGTTTAATTACAAAGTTGTGTTCCATGCTCCTGATTGTTACCTTGGGGATCTGAGAAGATTCATGTGACTTCTAAATCAACTAAGTGATTTCTAGAGAGCAACTTTTGCATGAAAAAAAAAATCTAGCTAATTATTTATTTCAGCATTTGTAGAATGCAAACCCTATCCTATGCCACTTACAAAACAATTTGGGATTACAAACGTCTCACAGTGGCATCTGGCTCTCAGTGCTTGAGGGCAGTGGACATCTTTAAACAACAAACTGCAAGCTAATTCAGTGCTGCTTTAACTTTCCTTTTTGGCATGAGAAACATGCCAAACTTCTGCCCCCTTCTAGAAGTTTGTTGAGCAATGATAAAGAAAAGAAATAGGTCCTAAGCCTTGAATATTTCAGAGGAATTTCTGATGTGTTAGATTGTTGATGAATGAATTCAAACACATACTATTGGGGTCATTCCTTCTTTTTAGACACCTCAAACTCCCTTCACTCTGTTTTATTTTTTTCTCTAGAAGTTTTTTCTTTTCTTTTTTTTAATCTCTAGAAGTTTTAAATCAAATCCTATAGGGTGGGGGACAAAAGGACAAAATCCTCCTAGAGGTTGACCTGTGCATTGAGATCTGATTTGGACACCTAGGTTTTTAGTTGAGTGCTTGGTTGTGTATCCACAAGTGGCCACTGCTTTCTAAGCTCCTTTTTGTTTGTTTGTTTGTTTGTTTGTATCTCATGCTGTACTAGATGCCACAGTGATTTACTGACCCATTTTAGAAGTAAAGCCGGTTTCTGATTTCTGCTGGGGTTTCATGACTGTGTAGTGGCAGTAGAGCCTTGCTTCAACCTGGCATCTGCTCTTCTCCTACTTTTCATTTTCTGCCCCTTCCCCAACAACTCTTTAGAATTTTCCAGTGTTACATAAAATGAGGTTGTTGAGTGGGCGGTTGGGACACATAGAATGTTGAATCCCTTGTTGATAAGAATGTCCTTTCTTCCGGCATGATAAAACAGTGACAAGGACTAGCCAGCGCCTTGTGCAGGTGCAGGCAACAAGATCAGCACTGGGCATATGTCTGGACATTGGGAACTTGTCAGTTTGACAGGTGTGTTCTCTACCTGCCTTGGCTGACTTGTTTCCCCTCAGGATATTGTTTTCTTTCCACAGATACACAGCACTGCAGTTGTCCTCATCACCTGGGAGCCAGGTGTCGGTGGCATTTCCTTGGTGTTTACTCACAGTCAGTTAAAACATGCTGTGTTTTTTCAGACTTGGAAACGATTGATGGTGCCATTTATCATTGAAAGGACTCAACTTGTTGGTCAGATGAAAATGTAGTCTGAGGTGAATTTCAGAAAACAGCATAAGTCAATCCAGGTTCCGAGGCAAAATTTATAAATGCTGCTGACATTCTTAGACCAGGCAGGTCTCTGGATTCCAGTATGCCATTTGCAACCACAGTGTTTTGACCACCTAAGATAGCTCACTTAAGTCTGTTTGCATAAGTGCATTTTTGATTCCCAGATGTTCTTACCAATGGAGCTAAAATGATTAGGACTCTAAGGAATAACTCCCAGCCTGCCTCCAGTCAATCTCCAGGATCCCTGTTTACTGAAAAACTCCATGGCTGGAAGTTGGGGACTTAGGACCCAAGAGGATCAATCGTGACGCAGACTTGGGTGTTGAGGTTTCAGGTGAGGGGGCTGGAGCAACAGCCCTCACTGGGTATGACTTTGTAGCTCTAACTGACAGTGCTCTTCTGCTTTATCTTTCAGTTAATGACCAGCCACAGCGTCTGTGCTGTGAGCTCCAGCTCTTGCCTCCACGGCTGAGCCACACGCCGGTTGCTGTGCATACCAGCTGAGGTAACATGGCTTGTTGGCCTCAGTTGAGGTTGTTGCTATGGAAGAACCTCACTTTCAGAAGACGACAAACAGTAAGCTTGGGTTTCTCTTGGCTTTCTCTCATGGTTTTGAATTGGGATTGGAGGAGGGAGGAAAGGAAGTCTTGGTTTCCTCAAAGTGATTGGACAAATCTGACCCTGGTAGACACAGGACTATGTGGTTCTGATATGTATGGCCACATAGAGGGGAGATTTGCAACCAGGCAGAAGTGTTAGCTTTGGTCTGTGCTTGTTCTCAGGAGTGTCCTAACCTCTGGCATCTGGCACAGAACTGTCCCTAGCCCTACTACTCTTAACTTTTGCTGCAGACCTGGGGGTCACCTGCCTTCTCCAGAAGCACCTAATGAGCCTCTTTTATGTCTGGGAGGGGAAATGACATAAGTCAGTGGTCTAGCTCTTGGATATGTCTGGACCCCTCAGTGTCAATAGAGACCACAAGCCTGGAGGAATATAACTGAAATTTGTTGCATTTCTGTGGAGCATTTACGCCATTGGCTTTCAGATGAGGCAATAATTCTTTGAGTAATCCTGAGAAGATCATATTTAATGTGTCTATGAGTGATGTTTTTCCAGAGAGGAAGGTGAGATCGATAAAACATGGTAGACTCCTTAAAGCTCAAATGTTACCTTTGCTTTTTTACCTGAATATAGATATCTTATCCCATCTCCTGGGCAACTCTCTGGAGTTCTAACTATGTTTCCTGCACTGTCCTGTTTCCTAACTTGACTGTCTTAATAAAGTTTAACACATCTGTAACCAAAATGATCATCCTTCTTAGAGTGATAAGGGACACTGGGGAGAATTCAAGTCAGTGTTTCTCAAACTACAGTAATACTTGGCCCTTCTTGTAAAAGAATAAAAATGTTAAGGTGTCCTTCCTTGTATTTATAAACTTTTTTATTTTAATGTTACTTAAATATGTACATATGTGAAAACTATAAAACTGCTTGTATTTAAAGGCTATTGTGTAATAATCATGTGATCACCACATAATTACAAATGAAATGCAAACAGAATTGCAAAATCAATACAATTCAAATTCATACTATTAATGTAGTAAGACAGCTGACTTTGCTTACCTAAAACTAAATTATAAGTAGTAAAGTGAATATGGTAGTGAAGGCTATAATGCTGATCCTTTGAGCTGAAACAGTCTTATATTACTTGTGTTAACAATTCAATTCTACAACCATTTTTCCAGTGACCTTCATCTCATCATTCATACATTGCATCTACATCTGTTCCTTTCTCATTAGTCTGCTACAATTTTATTGCTGCCAACACAACCACAAACACAAATATATAAACTTGGGTTTTGAACTCATGTTCCAGAACTAATTATGAAGTAGGCATTCAGAAAATCCAGATATGTTTATTTAAATTTGTTTAGATGACCATTGAAATGAAAACACAAGTGTTTAAAATTCTCGCAAGGAACTGACATGTAATCTTTCAAGAACACAAGAATATATATATATATATTCATAAGAATAGATATGTTCACATAAGAATATAATATTCTAAGATTCTCTATATAAGAACTTGTATTCAAAAATTTATGTCTGTCTATCAATCATCTATCTCTATTCTAATATGAGAAAAACTGATTGTTTAGATACAAGTAGGGACCTGAATCCCAAGGTCGCTAGTAAGAGAATAGGAACTAGAGTTACTAAAATAGAATCCTATCTATTTTAATAATAGTAGTAGTAAACCACAATACATAATATTATATAATATAATAAAAGCAAACACTTAGAATGAGTTTCCATGTGCTGTGCACTGAAATGCTATTAAGACCCACCTCATGAAGTACTGAAGTACAAGTATTTTTTTGAATTATAACTAGGGAACTTGAAGCACAGAGACAGGTTGAGGTATATGTCTTAGCTCCTGCATTGCTAGTCAGAAGCACATGTGGGGTTGAAATTCAGATAATCTGACTCTAGAGTTGGGGTTCTAAACCACTATGTGAAGTTGCTTTTCAGTATATCTTTGTGTATATCTTTCTATCTTGAGTCTCCAAATCTTAGTGTTTTTGAATTCTTCCGTGCCTCTCCCCCTTCCTCCCATGTCTTTTCTCAAATCCTGGCATTCCCAAGCCCTGTGTGTTCATTTTTTTCCTACAGTGTGGTCCAGGTCCTTGCCTCTTCTGCTGGTAACAGCTCACACCATGGGCAGTTCTCTGCTATGATGTGCCCTTTAGCTATTGAGTAGTACAGAGAATTCTATCCTTCTGACAAAAGAAAAGAGCTCTCAAGGGTAATCCAGCCTAACCATTCATTTTACAGATGAGAACATTGAGGCAAAAAGCAGGGAAGGGATTTCCCTAAGGTCAGCCAAGGAATCTGGAGCATAGGGTCCTGGAACAAGAGGTGGGGTTGGGACACCCAGACTGGGCTAGTCTCCACTAGTATTGAGCTTGTTCTTGCTCAATGTTGCTTATGGTTTTTTAAAAAAAAGTTGCAATTCAAGAGATAGGCAGGATTAGTCAAAGGCAATTTGTAGCCTTTGGCAGACTTCTTGTTGAAGGAGAAGATAGGGACTGAACATCTTGAGAGAAGAGCTTATCTAGATGATACATCATACCTGCTAGCTTTTCCTTATTGTCCCCTTCCTGATTTCTAAAAGACATGTACTTGCTCAACCAGAAAGAAAGTTTCCTCATTTAGTTTTAGGCTGAGCTAGAGGCCAAAGAAATGTGGTTTATTCTGCTTGCAGATGTTTGGATTGTAAGAGCTGGAAAGTTCTGGCCTGTCCCCTGTACAGTTGGTGCAACTGGGGTTTGGGAGAGGGAAGAGGGGTCCAGAGTGGCTCAGTTATGGAAGTAGCACCAGAACCAGCTTCCTGGCACAGGACTTTTACAGCAGGCTTTGCTTTAGCTGCACTTAAAGTTTAATGTCCTTGATTCTATCTGGCTTGAATTTCTAGGTTATGTTGTTTAATGGAATCTGTTAAGGGTTCTGGTGCCATGATGTTAGCATAATCAGAATCAACCCTGCCCATTAGTCAGGAAAGGGTTAGTAGCTGCAGGTTAGTGCTTGCCCAAAATGTATGGAAATTGATTGCATGCTTCCCTTCTTCTGATGTCCTGGAGTCTATCCATGTGTCCCCTGAGCTTGACACCATGGATATGCTTAATAACTATTTGCTGAATGTGTGGTGAAAGTATTAAATGGGCCATTAATTTGAAGAGCTCAAAGAGGCTCCCTTTCTCTAAGAACATCATGTACTGCTGCCGGGAAAAAAAGAGAAAAATATGTAAAAGCTGGGAGCTGAACCATATACCCCAGGTCCACTCTGTCGGAAGGCAGGTGGTTGCCCTTTTGCTCTGTATCCTTCTTGGCTGATAAATTCTGGGGACCCCATTGTGCAGACTCATGGGACCATTGATGAGGTTTAGGAACAGGAACAGGTTTCCGCTTTTCCTACTGGGCAAAGAATGCATTGAAACTGAGTTGCAAAAGTTGGGTGCAAAGCTCAGTTTGGGTTCAAAGGAGCAGTTAACTTGTGTGGGTGGTAGTCATTCAGCATAAACAGGGCTTAGGACAGGAAGGACGAGGGGCTTCAGAGTTCTTAGGTTCCTCATCTAGTTTTAGGCTGAGTAGAGGCCAAGGACCCATGGAACAGAGGGGACAGAGTATGATCATATGGCCTTTTTTTTTTGGCTTTTGGAATTAATTTTCTCATTATATCTGAGTAGCCCTGTAACTGGGAAATAGATAATTCTAATTTTCACTTAAATTAAGTGTCAGCATTTGGGCATTATTTATTGACAATAAGCTATCAAATAAATAAAAATGGAACTCCTTATTTAAGAACTATTAGTGAATTTTACAGGGTAGAGTGACACTCTGCATCCCTTCCCCACTTACAGTTTCACGTGATACATCTGATCATTATCTCATCCTAGTTCAATTCTAATTCCAGCTTGGTCATTCTATACTTCAAATGGCTTAGGGAAGCATTTCTTTCAAATTGTAATTTCCCCCTCCATAAATGAAGAAAGTTTGAAAAAATAGCATTTATTGTCTCATTTGGATAATATTTATTATCTATATGTGGGACAGCTTGTTGGGTCCACAGGGGTGAATCAGACAGATACGATCCTGTCCTCATTGAACTTACAGTTTAGTGGGGGAGTCAGATAAGAAACACATTATCACACAAATAAAAATACAATTACAGGCTGTGATAAGTGTTAGGAAGAAAAAAATAAACAAATGATAGCATCATTTTAGATACTACCAGGCAGTGGATAGGCACTTAATTTAGAGTGGAAGGTCATGACATTTAATCTGAGAGTCCTGAAGTTCAAGTGGCATTAGTCAGAGAAATCTGAGTTGAATGGTGACAGCCCATGGAAGAAACCATAATCATCACATGCATATATACCCTTTTATGCACTATTTTCTTTCATTTTACATTATTTGGTATGTATGTTCATATATCTCCAAATAATATTCCTATTTATAATAATGATTCATAATATATAGGCTTTATTTTGAAGTTTTAAAAATCCCTTTATACCCATTATCTTTTTAATTTTCACAGCAGTTCTGAGAGGTATGCATTACAATGTGTGTTTCAGAAAGTGAGGAAAGGATTTCAAAAGGAAGGGCTGGATCTTTTGTCCCCAGACCTACTATGGGATGATGCCATTGATTTTTCCCTATACCTTTATTGTAACTCATCAGCATGGTTTTGATTTCGTAAGCTCATACTCTATTTGCAACATTTAGGTTGTTTTCAGTGTTTTCTGGTATAACTATGTAATTACTTACATACATAGTTATATAGCTATGTAACAATAACTGTAACTACAAACTATAAAGATTTTATGCAGATAGCTGTATATATTTGTATTATTTCCTTAGGGTTAGGCTTACTGGGTCAAAGTGACCTTCGGAGTGTATGAGCAGATGTCCTCCCCAAGATCAAACTCATAACAAAAGCCAACACAAAGCTTTAGTCCTTACTGTTCTGGGAGGGCAGACCTGGTTTAGAAAATGGTTTTTCCCTCTAGCATTTGTTTGATTTGCTCTTTAAGATTTCACTTTAACTTTTCCAAACCTGAGTGAGGTATATAGGTTTAAAATTAATTTTTCTTCACCATTCATATTCTGTTATTCAGAAGCTTTTATTAAACAGTGATTCCTTTAGTTATTACTGGGACATTTATCAAAATCTGATCTGTATCAGGGGTTACTTCAGGGATGACTTTGGGCTTATCCATTTGGTCATTTGAATAATGTTTTTATTTTGATGTTGATTTAGCCCAGAGTGTGCTGTTACTTTGAACATTTTGAGGTTTGGGGAAGCTCATTGTCCCACACTTCCCTTTTTGCCTCTCAGAATATTCTTTGATGTTTTTATCTATTTCTTCTCCCCACTGAATTTACCTTATCAAGCGCCAAAAAGTATCCTGTCCCTATTTTAATGCTCTGGAGATGCTTACGTATGCATGGAGACATTTTTTGGTTGGTTGGGTCCTGGATGGGGATGGTTATTGTTGCTCGTATCTAGTGGGTAGAGGCCAGGGATGCAGTAAACATCCCACAGTTCATAGGAGGGCCCCACACAGCAATTATATGGCCTAAAATGTCCATAGTTTGCTGTTAAGAAGCTCTGCTCTGGCAGTGTTTGCCCAGATTATTTCCACGTTAGAGCTAAGGAATAATGAGCTGGAAAATGTAAAGCAATGCTTTGGTGCTCCCCAGGGCAGCTCAGCATAGCAATTCACTTAAATATCTGAATGATTATTTTAATAGCCAACATTAAAAGAAAGCTGCTCAATTTCTGACCCTGGTGAAAGCACTTTCGAAACCAGTATTCCAGTCCATCTGCCCTACCTCATGGGCTGGGGAGGTGTGAAGGTGGGTGGGCAGGTAGCAATGTAAGATTAAAGGCTTTTTGATAGGGTTTTATAGCTATAAAGCATCAGTCTTATTTCCTAGTTGTTTATAAGGGTCTGTGTGAAGGAAAAATGCTACCTTACAGGTGGGGGAGAAATCTGATTTTGGTGATGACAGCAGATGACATTCCTGGTAGAAGTCAAATTAGAGTTCTGGAGGGAGGCTATTAGGCAATGATACCTAGAATACCCTCCTAAATTTAGAAGGTGAATCCTATTTTCAGTGCCAGAAATAATTTTAGAGGCCCAGAATAAAAGGGTATACATTAAATTTTGTCTCTCATGGAGTTCTCTGGTTTGGGTGATAGGAACCTTGAAGGCAGTCTCTTCATTGTTTTGTAAATGTTAGTGTCTCAGCTTTTGCAAGGGCTTTGAATGGATCAAGAATTTAGATACTTGGGGTTGTTGGGAAGAGGATATAAGGAGGTTGGGGTATATCGTGGCAAAGAGCCAAGATCCACACGTTGGACAGGCTTTGAATTCTGGCTCTTCCATTAACTAACCTTTATTCTTGTGCAGTTTATTAACTCTGACTTTCAATTTCCTCATATTTAAAATGGGAATTATAATAATACTAATGGGTTTATTTGAAGAAAAATGAGTATATGTAAAACACTTAGAATACAGATCTATAGTAAACCCTATTTAAGTGTTAATCATTATTGTCAGTCTTTTTCTTATTTCTTTCCCTGATCTGCTTACATCCACTTACTTCAGTTGCTGAAAGTGATTTGTATGATTTTTTGGGTGTCCTTTGTTATCAGATGTGGGGGCTGCAGAGATGTCTAGGATTTCTTTGGTTCAGATCAGTGCCCAGAGGGAATAGTGAATGTTAGGCTCTTTTTAAGTGGTCATTTTAAAAGGTCATTGTCCCATATTTATCTCTGTGAGTGGCAACAAGATGGGTGTAAGAGCACAGAGGGATTTTAGTGCTTTTACCCAGGGTCTAGGTCATCACTGTCTGAAGCTTAGCTTCTTCATTCCTTACATGGTAGTAATATGACTTACCTTCCAGAGTTATTGTGAAATTTATGTTACAAGTGAGATCAGTAAAATCTCTGGCACACAGTAGGTGCTCAATATTGACTGTAACTATTGTAAATCTAAAGCTATTATAAATCTACAGGCCATGAGTTTATTTATCTCTTTGAAACACAGTGATGTTTAGGCCATGCTGCCTAGTTGGGGCCATATTCTACCTGGGTCACGTAGAATTTCATGTGGCCTCCAGAGCTGGACAGAACTGGCTATTAATCTCAATCCTGCCTCAGTCTAGCTGTGTGATTTACCCTTCCTTGAGTTTAGCTTTGTTGATAAAGGCTGGAAGTAGTAAGGTTGTTCCATCACAGGGTTGTTCTGATTAAATGAAATAATCCATACATAGTGTACCTACTACATATTAGACTCTACGGAAATGGTAGCTAATCTTTATCCTAAAAATGCAAATGGTATCTTCAGAGCTCCATGCTTATTGATTATTTATCTTCCCTTATATGTTTCATTTAATTTTGCTTTTTTTTTTCCTGAGTTCATTTCTGTATTCTGAATTCATTCATAGTCATGCTATTTTTAAAAGTTTTATTCCGTCTCTTATATTTGTAAGTAACTTAGATGTAAGTTTGGAATGCATACACTTTTGTTTTCTGCTTTTTTTCATTTAATATTACATGATTAATAGTGTCTGGATTGCATTGCATAATGTTGAGTAGATGTACCTTAATTTAATCATTTTTTTCTATTGCCATGCAATTAAGTTGTTTCCAATATTTTGCAATTACAGTGTTTGAGTGAATAACTTCATGTATATAGCTTTTTAAGATTTTACATTTAGTTCCATAGGATGAATTACATGGAATAGTATTTGGTCAAAGGGGATAAACATGTCATTTGAAAGTATGGGCAAATCGCTTTACCAAAGGATTCAACTGATTTATATTTATATTTCTTTATTATTTTACCAACTCCAGACCATTCTCTTATTCAGTTAACATTTCTTAAGCAGGGCCTCCCCTGTGGCGCAGCGGTTGAGCGCTGGGTTGCGAAGCTGCCCGCAGCCTCTGCAGCGCCGGTTCGATCCCCGGCTGCTCCCCGGCCACCGGAGGAGGGTCCCACATGGCGCGCAGACCTCTCCTGCCGCCCGCTGCTCCCTTCAGCAGTGTACTTCGGTCCTTCTGCCTGCTCTGCTCCCCGCTCTGGCTCTGGTGAATTCTCTCACCCTCCCGTGCTTCTGACTGTACCCAGTGCGTGTATAAACAAAACAAACAAACGAATAAATAAATAAATAAATAAAAACATGCCTCTATTAAAAAAAAAATTAAAAAAAAAACAAACAAACATTTCTTAAGCAGGCTTAGTAAGAAGAAAGTGACAGTGGGGGAGAAGTATGACTATAGATTGCTGGCACGTGCTGATAAGGGCCATAAATATACTGAGTATCTGGGGAACTCTAACAGGGAGTTCCAACTCAGCAGATACAACTCACCAGCAGCTGAATGGTGAAGGACTTTGTACTGCCCCCAGCTTTCTCCAGTCCTGGGTGCACACAGGTCATCAAATATGTGTGCATTTCCATTGTCACTTAAAAATTTTTTCTTTGGGTTTTCCAAAGCCTAGTAGCATTAGGCAGCCACTTTAACTTTTGCATTCATAGTGTGCTCTGTCTTATTTCCTATTCAGTGTCAGCTGTTGCTGGAAGTGGCCTGGCCTCTATTTATCTTCTTGATCCTGATCTCTGTCCGACTGAGCTACCCGCCCTATGAACAACATGAATGTAAGTATCTTGAATATCCTGTGTGAGACTTAAACATTGGCAAGCAAAAGCCAGGGAATAGGCTTGGGCTAAATTTGACCTTTTCCAAGACATCTTTAGGAAACACTGCAAATGGTGTGGAACAGAAAATCTAAGCTTCCAGTTTTTTTTTTTTTTTTTTTTTAAGAAACTGTGAACTTAGGAAACTATTATCGATTCTAGTGAATGGTGATAATAGTAATTATAACAATAGCCAACATCTGTTTCATACATTTTATATCATGAAAGTGAAACAACCATACTGATAATTCAGAAAGTGGTGATTAAAGAAATGCCCTTAGGCATGCCTTAACACCACTGTCATCTGGTCCCTGCCAGTCTTTTTCATTTCCATTATGTCTTTATTACACAAATCATGAAACATGTAATTTTAAGTAGCATTTGCGTAAGACTCAGATTAATGAATATTATTTCATTTGATTCATAACAACCATGTATAATAGACTTTATTACTGATTTTATAATAGACTTTATCTTTACTTTAATATTTTGTTAAGTAAATTGTGGCTCAGAGAAGTGCAGAGACTTGTTCAAGTTCACACATCTATAAAGTGACAGATGAAGTAAAGCTTAGGTCATCTGACCCCCAATAATATGTTTGGATAATAGCCTTTACAGTAAGCATCGAGGTAAAGTCAGGGCTAAAACACAAACTCTCGATGTCAGGCTAGCTGAATTTGATTCCTGGCTTCAATTTTTACTAGGTTTGTCACCTCAGGCAAGTGAATTATCTTTTTAGTACCTGAGTGTCATTGTCTCTATAAAAGGGGAATGGTAACACCTACCTTATATCCTTATCTTGAATGTGTGCTCATGCTCACTGGGTTACTCACTGTATGGACTGACATCGCAGCAGTGTCTCAGTTGAAAGAATCAAAGCTTACGTAGGAGGTTTAGTTATTGCTTTGCCCCAGTGACTTTTCCCACCTTTAAACATCTCCACTCACACCTGACCAGCCCCATAGATTTGCAGGATACTTTTCTTCATGGAGGAGATGGGACTAGAGTCACCATTTAATTGTGTTCTTGGTCTTGGTTCTTGTTTCCATCACTCTTATAGAACATAGCTGCAGTTAGCTACCTACTAATTTGCTAGTACACATTATAATATTTAAGTTTAGTAGTAAAACCTCATGAGCATTCTCCCAGACATGATTTTGTGATTTCACCAAAAAGGAAAAGAACATAAAATAAAATCTGCACTCAATTTGTGTGCCTGGGATGTAATTCTTCTTTCTCTTTTAGAACTCCAAAGAGTTTTTGCTGATTGATGAGCAAATGAATATTTGATTTTTATATAAGCATTACCCTAAGTTCATGTTTTAAGGAAAATCTAGCCTTTTCATTTGCTATGCTCTTCTCTTTCTGGAATGATCACAAACAGGCAAGATAGTGTAGTGGAGATAGCATAGACTTTGGCATCACACAAATTGGAGATTGGATCTTGGCTCTGCCACTTGCCAAGCCTGTGATCTGGGGAAAATTGTTAAATTTTAATTCAGATACCTCTGTATCTAGACCATTGGTCTCAGAAATGTTGTCAACTTTCTATACCTGTAGAAGGAAGATAAGACTTTTCCTTCCATTTATGCACTCCTTGCAAACTTAACCTGCTGTTTTCTCCATGCTCTAGGGACCTAGTTGGAAGAGAGTTTGGGGGTGTCTTTTCTATGGGAACAAAGGATTGGTGTATAATTCTTCCCCATAAATCTTTCCTATTGTGATCCACAGCCTCTGAGGGCCTAATAAATTCCCTGGGTCCTGGAAGTTTATTAGGCTATTTAATTGTCATCTTGTGCACCCAAATGCCAAGTTCTCATCTGGCTTTTGCTTGCAAATAGGGTGGGACACAACATACATGAAAGGTTTCTGCTTCATCCATCAATGCATTGCCTGAAATACCTTTACTTCCCACTGCCCTGTGCTGCCTGGATGGACACCACCCTGTCCTTGGTGCCAGTATCTCTAGGAGGTTAAAGGGGAGAATCCCTTGGTCCTTCGAGTATTTGGTTGGGTTGCATAAATCTCTGCTGAATGAGGGGCAGCTGACTTAGGCAAGGGACCTTGTTTGATTTTCCTTGACCTTTTAACAGGGAGATAAGGAGGTTAACTGAGTAAATGTTCAAAAGGCCAGAGTCCCTGCAGAGGGTGGCTGCAGTGATCAGATCTTGTTACATCCTTGCTTTGGATGTTCCATTTTTGGCTGGAATATGGAAAGAAGTAAAAAGAGAGATGGGCACCAGTACTGAAATGCAAAGTGTAGCAAGTCCTGGATGTGGGTTAACTTTTGGGGAGATTCTGTTAGCACAGTTGCACAGACATAAAAATCCAACTAAAACGGGGGTTCTGCTTGGAGGACGGTGGCAGCTGTGAGATGGGAGTGTTCCTGGCTAGACAATAGCAGAGTAGGTACGGTTGTAGTCTCACCATCACAGTGCCTCAGTTATCCTAATAGGCCCATTCATTGAGCTGTATGCTCTGCCAGGCACTCTGCTACATGCTTTGCCTGTAAGAACTTGTGGGATTTTCAGCACAGCTCTGTGAAGTAGATCACATTTTTACAACTATTTTACAGATGAGGAAACGGGATTAGGGATTCAGGGGCTTGACCAAAGTTGCTGCTTAATGAGTTGCAGAAACTAGATGTGAATCCCAGCTGGTCTTATGCCAACGTCTGTGAAACCATCTGGGTCTTTGCCAACTAGAGCCATAGTTTTATTGGTCTTTAACTCTTTCAGGGTCACAGGTAACCTTGAGAATACGGTGAGAGCTGGAGGCTTGGCCTTTCTGTCCAAAGGAATTTGCACATGCTTGGGATTCCAGTTAAGAACCCTGGTTGGAGGAGGACATGTTGATCTTAATGCTCATTAGTAGCACCTTTCCATGGCTGACTGCCACACACCACACTCTGCCTTTGATACCTAGCAACAGCTCAAATACACCCAGTCATTCTCCTTGTCAGAAGCTCTTCTGTAATGAAGGCAGAGGAGAGAAAGGAGATGGCCTATTAGATGGACCTCATTGCTTTGATGAGACACAAAACAACCACACCAGTATAGCCTCACAGCTGACACCTCACTCCAAGTCTCTGCTTCGTAAATGGCCCAAGTTGCTTGTGAGCTGAGAGAATGTGAACCTAACATATGATTGGCCAACAGAGGACAGTACTAGGGGGAACTAAGGAAAGCTGGAATGTAAAGGTTGCTACAGATTTAAGGAAGGGGGCTTGGATTAGGCTCCCAGAGATATGGGTTCTACTCTCCATTTTGCTCATGGACTTCCTGAGTGTTCATCAGCTGTGGTTTCCTTTTATCTTCTCATGGTGCCTCTTTGTGGTGTGAAACAGTTGGGTTAGATCATCCTCAGGGCCTCTCTAGGTGAGTTAAAGATGAATCATTGAGGATCCAGTACTTGCTGCGCATCATACGCTTGATGTGTATGATCTCGTCTCCCCTTCTCGTCCCCTCTCCAAGGTTGCTATCATGATTCCCATCCTACGGATGATGTTGTATAGGTGAAGAACTGCTATCTGCTGCCAAGTTTCTAACTCAGTTGGTGGCAGGTCCCTAGAATATGGAGAATGGGACAGATTTAGAATGAAATAGTGTATGGGTAGCATCAATAGAAGTAAAGATTCTTTCCTATTAAGTCCCAAAACTGCATCAAACAACTAATGTTTCTCCTTGTGTTTTTCGTCTCAATTCCAACAGGCCACTTTCCAAACAAAGCCATGCCCTCTGCAGGAACGCTTCCTTGGATTCAGGGAATTATCTGTAATGCCAATAACCCCTGCTTCCGTTATCCGACTCCTGGTGAGGCTCCTGGGGTTGTTGGAAACTTTAACAAATCCATGTAAGTACCAGATCAGGTTTTCTAGCCCTATCTTGTCTATCTTAATATTTTCCTTCCCTTCTCATCCTCTGGGGAATTACGAGTGGTTGGACTTGAGTGAAGTTGCTTTGGTAAAAGTTTGTGTGGTAACATCAGAAAAATATGGGAAAGGAGAGTTGCCACTAGGATTTTGGTTTTGTATTCCTGGCTCCAGACTTCAACACCAGACACAAGTATAGACTTAAGCAGTGTTTGCCAAAGGAGACTGTAGAGTCTTTGAATGCATGGAACTGTGCCATGAGTTGGAATGGACTAGGGGCTGTAGGAGATGTACCAAGTCAGTTTTAAGGAGCTGCAGTGGGGGCAGGTAAGGCCAAGTATAATGTTCACACGTCTCAGGCCTTAGCCTTCATGGGCCCCATCTTCCATGTAAAAGTATTAAAAATTTTAATTTATAATTGTGTTAGTATAAAGATGAATATACGCCAGCTTGCATTCATTCTCATAGATATTCATTCTTAATATATTAATTTTAAAAATTCTGACTTTAAAGGAAATTAAAACTTATTTTTGTGATTCCTAAGAGGATCCTGAGCCCAGGCACTATGCCTACTATGTCTCATGGATAAATTGGCCCTGGGGGTGTTTGTGCATGTGTGTCTGTGTGTATCTGTGTGTGTTAACAGTTGGCTGTGCAGATGCATGGTGAAATGCATTTGGGGCAGGGAGGTGGGTGGGTGGTTATAGTGACCTGGGTGTGGGGAGCAATAGGAATGGGCCAGAGCTGGTGGTGGAGGACCTAGTGGCCAGGCTGGTGACAGGCACTTCTTCAAACTGGAGAGGCAGTTGACCTAACAAGGGCTTTTCTGTTTTCCTGTCCCTCCTGCAGTGTGTCTCGCCTTTTCTCAGATGCTCAGAGGCTTCTTTTATACAGTCAGAAAGACACCAGCATGAAGGACATTCACAAAGTTTTGAGAACATTACAACAGATCGAGAATTCCAGATCAAGTAAGCGAAAGCCTTCTATATATCAGTTTATAATTGGAAATTGATCTTTATCAGGAGAGATGGCAGTCCAGTGGCGTTGGGCTTGTTCCTTTTAGCTGTTCCTCACCAACTTTCCTCCTCAGTGGCTGGGCTGCAAGGCCTCTCTGCAGGAGCGTTTGAGAAGAAACTAAGCAAGTTCGTTGTATCAGACTATGTGTGAACTGACCTCCTCTGGGGAAACAAGAAACATTCCCAGAGAGGAATAGTACAGACTTGGAGTTAGGGCCAATTAGTGCTGCTACCAACTTCATTTTTTTTGGAGTTGGCCATTGCATTACAGTGAATCAACACTCTTATAATGGGATATCTCTATGCATTTAAGAGCAATGAAAACTGCAACTTCATGTGGATAAGAGAAAGTTAAGCATTTATTTCTAAAAGGAAAATACAATTCATCTTTCCCCCTAGTCATTTGATTTAGTCTGATGGGCATTTGAACTCTGATCTTTAAAAAGTGAAATTTTTACTTTTGGTCTGTAAGTATCCAGGCAATTTATTGCATGCCATTTGGAAGTGTCTAAGGAGCAGGCAGTTTGCTGACCGAGTCATTGGCTGCAAAAGTCACAGAGCAACCTGCTAGGCCATTGTCTAACAAGTGGCCAGTCTTCTCTGGAGGCAATGATGATGTGCATGGTCTGTAGAGAATCTAAAAGCACTATGGAGGCTGACCAAAAGTCGATCTGGTTTTTATTATCACCATACACTGGTGGTTCTGAACAATGTCAGTGATAAATTATAACTGCTGTCACTATTCCCAGAAAGTACTTTTTATTTAGTTTAGTGTTTTGGGATGCACGGGGTGGGCTGGCCTTTGCTGAGACACCTCCCAGCTTGTGATCAATCCACTCGGCAAAAGTAGAAATGGCAGTAAGTGCTGGAATTTGAACTAGACTTGGCACTTTTTCTTAGGTGCATAGAACTGTGCTTCCCCGGGCAGGAAGAGAGGCAATAGGACAGTGTTGACCTAATGACAAAGGGAGGCAAAATGGGGGGTGGGCACAGAAGATGTGTGGATTCACATTGGAAAGGGGTGTGGCTGTGCCTAGACTGTGGGATCAGCTTTGAGGAGCTTCCCACTGGGCCCTTCTTGGCCACATGTCCTGGCCATCTGGACACTGTTTCTTGGCCCTGTAGGTTCCTGGTCCTGTACATATGGGTCTGTCTGTCCCTGTCCAGCACAGTGAAAGATGGCAACCTTCAGTCAAAGCATCAGTCCTTCCTAATCTGCTGGAGAGCCCTGGCCTGGTAGACCAGAGGCAGAGCTTGGGTTATTTCTTCTAAGACAGGATCTATTACCTTGGTGAGGATATATAACTTTGTAGCTTTTTGACTTTGTGAATGATCATTTAGCCCCTCATAGGATTGTTGTGAGGAATAAATGAGAACAAAACATTTAATTGTTTAAAACAGCATCTGGCACATAAGAAGCACTTAGTGAATACGAGCTGTGCTTATGTTGGGGTGGTGATATCTGATGCCAAGTCATTTAATCTCTGTGAGCCTTAATTCCTCAGCTAGAAAATAATAGGTAATTTGCAATATAAAACCTAACACAGTATCTGGAACATACTATATATTTGATAAGTGGGAGCCAATATTATTCTTAAGTGACAGTAATCTATTTCTGAGCACTGGCCTTGCTCTTCTTCCTCTCAGCTCATGGCTGAAGAAATAAACTAACTGATGGAGGTGAGATGTTGAACAGAGTTTAGGTCTTACTGGAAGCTGCCTTAGACACAACTATTTTTCATTGTTGAGCAACAGACAACTCAGTCAGCTTGGTACAGAGAAGCCAAACCTGTGTTCAAAATTCTTTCTCTGCACAGCTCTGAGGAGAGAAGGTTTCTTTTGATTTTTATTGTGTCATACTAATGCTTATTACACATTTCTCCATTCATTCAATGCCTTTATCTTTCTGCCCTGAAGCTATTCTTAAATCTTTCTACCTTTTTTTGCTTGTCTTGCAGCACAGAGCCAGTCTGTACTCTTGAGGGAAAACCACAGAAATGTTACCACCTTTTAGATGGAATCAGTAACATTTTGCTGAATTTGAGTAGCTCTCTAGATTTCAGAGGCTGGTGTATGTCAATTTACATCCTGACTTGGATTTGTGTTTATGTTGATACCCCAACTGACAGTGTGATGGGCTTAGGCCTCTTTGACTGGTATTTTCAGGTTTGGGAGGCACCTTGGAGCTGGTGTGGTTCAGAGTCCTGCCTCATCGGTCTCTTCTACCGCACACCTACTTCCTGAGATAGCAGCTACTTCCTGAGATTGCATACAGCAGCTCTGACGATCAGAAATCCTCACTAACCAGCTATCCCTTCCAGATAAGAGGCTTATTCTGTTTCCTGTGAAAATATTTAAAAACGTCTCTTGTGTTTTATCCCCTCTCTTCCCAAAGTCTCTGATTTTTCTAGGCTAAATGTCCCTCCATTCCTCTTCTGGTATGTTTTATTCCCCGATTTCTGCTTCTCCTCTGGTTGTGTTTCAGTATGTCTATATCTTTCTTGAAGTTTATCAAAAACCACCACAGTATTATGCACTGAGTAGAAAGGGACTTTTGCCTCCTTTGTTCTGAGCACTATATTTCTTTTACTGAAATCTGAGATTGCATTAGTGCTTTTTGGCATCCACGTCACACTGTTGACTCATTTTCTGTGTGCAGTCAACCAAAATTGCAGAATCTTTTAAATATAGTTTTGCCAGTTACTTGTTCTCCATTTTTAATTGTGCTATTGGCTCTTTGAACCTAAAGAGAAAATGTCTCTTTTCTAGCATACATTTTTAGCATCCTACTAAAACCATGTTAGATTCTGATTTTGCCAGGTATTATATTGGCTGTTTCTTATTGTTTCCTGTCATGTGGGAATTTGATAAATAGTTCGCTTTGTTCTCATTCAAGTCACTGATCATTGTGGGATTAAGGCTTGAGGTTTGGATCAGTCTGTTGGAGACTAACCACCTCTCTGGTCACTAGTTCCCATGTTCCTACAGATCTACCAACCTGTGTTATCATCAGTGCTAGACCATGGGGCTCCTGCTTCTGTGATCTAGTTGGAGGGTGTATCCTGTTTTTTCTTCAATTTTGTACCTGCTAAATCCATTGCACTTAGATAATTTGTAGAAATGGGGCTGTCTATTCAAATATCTCCTTCAAGGTCCATGGTTTCCTGGGCCAGGGCATTTTTTTTATTTCCACGTATTTGCTGAGACTTTAGAAGCAATCTAATGAATTGATTGATTCAGTTGTCTGACTAATGTATACTGAACACCTAATATATGCCAACTACTCTTCTAGGTACTGGGTCACAGAGTTGTATAAACAAAAGATGGTTCCTTTGTCTATAAAGAATGTCTATTCTAGAAAAGAATCTGATCCAGAGAGGGGAAGTGACTTTCCCAAATTTGCACAACCACTGAAGGGATATTCAGGGACTTGAAGATAGCTAGGCCTCTACTGGTACATGCAGTTATCTTTCTACAGTGCTATCTTGTGTGTTCTAATAATCTTCCAACTGGGAGGGCCTCCAGTTTTAAGAATTAAGTTGTGGACCAGTGTAGTTACTTTTGAAACCGTACTAGTGAGAAACCCACATAGGAAGGCTTACTCAGGGGTCTTACAAAGTTTTCTCATCACTGAAAAATTTTTTTGACATTATTTTCTTACTAAACCATAACTAGGATGAATGGTGGCTAAATAAATGTTTGTGATCAGTGTGAAGAGCATTTGTTCTTCTTAAATCTATATTGTTACTGCAACCAATGGAAATGTAAAAATTGGATATATCTCAGAAAATCTGGGAAGGTTTTAGATTCTTTGTGAGATACCACAAGGATGACTATCCTGCTGAGTGAGTTTTTTGTGGTATCTGAGATGTTTTCAGGCAGTACACAGGTGAGAACTTTTAGTTTTAATCCATATTAATATCAAGTTGAAATTTCATAGCTATTGCTTAGAAGGATATTAAATAGAAAAAAATAAAGTTCATTTAAAGAATACATCTTTTTATGTGTACATAGTAAAACTAGTGAAAGTGGTTTCTAAATGATTGAAGATTGGGAAATGTTGGTGAAAGAAAGTGGAGCTTTGTATTAAGGTTCATTTCGAGAACAAATTCAAGCTCTATCAGTTATGTTTGAACCTTGGGAATATTTTAATTTTTTCTGACCCTCAGTTTATCTGAAAAATGGAGATTAACTGCCCTGAGGGTCATCAAGCATTAAATCAGATGCCATCTCTGAATGACGGATAGTGGGTCATAGCACAGAGGTGACATACAATAAATCTGAATTGGTTTGCCTCCCCTACTCTTCCTGGCTGTTTGACCTTTGCCAATTTGTTCAACCTCTCTGGGGCCTCCGCTTTCCTTCTCTCAGAATTGAGACTTTTCAAAACAACCTGACAAGGTCTCCTCTTGGAAACTTGATTTGCCTTGGATGAGGCTCAGCTGGGACCACACAGTGAAGTGATCTGTCCCTTAGCCTGTGGCCTTTTGAGGACAGGACTGGGCCTTGCTTGTGTCTGTGTCTTAAGCAGCACACAATAGCAGGCACATGGTAAGCAGTCAGTAAATCTTTGTGGAATGAAGGTGAGAGAAAATAGCCATGTTTTTTCATTCACAGAGGATTTTAAGGGTCAAGTGAAAGCACTTTGAAAAGTGTAAAATCCTGGCACGTGTATTTGTGGAATTGATTCCCCTGTGTGAATCCAAGTCAACAGGGCTCTAAATGAGTAATAATGACAGAAGCTCTTAAAACAGTCTTGGCTTTCTTTCTTCCGTAAGGATTACCTTCCAGAACTTTACTGTAAGGGCTGCCATGAAGCCAGGGCCTAAAGTGGATTTACTGAGAAGCTCAAAAACTTTCACTTTCATAGTTCCTATGGTTCTAGGTTCCAAGACCCTGGTAGGGATCTTAGCACTCAAAAACTGCCAAAATAGGCTATTTTAAAAATTCCT